GACTAAATCTTCCAGATATTCTGTGCTTATTAACAACACAGCACCCTCTTGACTTGGAATCCATAGCTGTAAGAACTTAGTTTCTCCTGTCAGCTAAGAAAACTCTTGGAAAATTTTTGGTGGACAGTAAATGCCAGGTAATCCAGACTTCATTAATTTATGACATAAGAAATAAATACAACTTTTAGCCAAACTGTCCCCTTTATTCAATCATAAAAAGAGTTTGCTAAGACAATAAACAGACTGGTAATTAAAATATTTATCAGCTGGGTGCAGTGGCTCACGCTTGTAATTCCAGCACTTTGGGAGGCTGAGATGGGTGGATCACCCAAGTTTAGGAGTTCGAGACCAGCCTGGTCAATGTGGTGAAACCCTGTCTCTACTAAAAATGCAAAAATTAGTTGGGTGTGGTGGTGGGCACCTGTAATCCCAGCTACTCGGGAGGCTGAGGTAGGAGAATTGCTTGAACCCAGGAGACAGAGGTTGCAGTGAGCTGAGATCACACCACTGCACTCCAGCCTGGGGGACAAGAGCAAGACTCCATCTCAAAAAAAATAAAATAAAATAAAATAAAATATTTATGCTATTTGGCCTGCCGCAGTGGCTCATGCCTGTAATCCTAGCACTTTGGGAGGCTGAGGCGGGTAGATTGCCTGAGCTCAGGAGTTCGAAACCAGCCTGGGGAACACAGTAAAACCCCGTCTCTAAAATAAAATAAATAAATAAATAAATCACCTGGGTGTGGCAGCATGCACCTGTAGTCCCAGCTACTCGGGAGGCTGGGGCAGGAGAATGGCTTGAACCCGGGAGGCGGGGGTTGCAGTGAGCCAAGATCACACCACTGCATTCCAGCCTGAGTGACAGAGTGAGACCCCATCTCCAAAAAAAAAAAAAAAAAAATTATCCTTTTATATATAATGTAAAATTTTACATATAATGTATAATATAAATATTATCATGTATTTAATATCTAGCTCCTCACAAGTTGGCCAAAGGCCTTTTTTTTGGGGGGCGGGGGAATGGAGTTTCGCTCTGTCGCCCAGGCTGGAGTGCAGTTGCAGGATCTCAGCTCACTGCAGCCTCCGCCTCCCCGGTTTAAGCAATTCTCCTGCCTCAGCCTCCTGAGTAGCTGGGACTACAGGCGTGTGCCACCACGCCCGGCTAATTTTTTTTATTTTTAGCAGAGATGGGGTCTCACTGTGTTAGCCAGGATGGTCTTGATCTCCTGACCTCAGGTGATCTGCCTGCCTCGTTCTCCCAAAGTGCAGGGATTACAGGTGAGAGTCACCACGCCTGGCCCATTTTTTTCCTTAGTTTTTGTTTTTCCGGACCCCCCAAAGGTGATTTGTTGAAGCACTAGCAATATTTTTCTTATCTTTATTAGCAAATGTACAACATCTGTTGATGTTTATAAACTGAGATTACATTTTCATGCAGTATTTGGGTATTTTGGTTTTCCTTACACCAGACTTATCATGTTTCACAGTTTTTAACAAAATATGGTTTGCTGGATCATTGATAAAAAGAAAACAAAATTGTCAAATGCACCTAAACACTTAAGAAACACAACTGCTGATCCTTTTGTAGTTCATAAGTGTGATGATTCGGCGTTCACATGCATGTATGAGATGTGCTGCCCTCAAACCTTGTTATGACGTGGTCCATTCCCCATCCGATGTGAAAATTTAAAAATTTTAAACAAAGAAGAGAGAAAAAAGGAAAATTACTACTAATAAAGTATGATACTTTTATGATCATTTTGTTTTTAACTACCATAAAATTTCAGTGCCTACAGGATTATGGAATCAATCACAATGAGAAGGGTAGAAACTCAACAAAATAATTAGCAAATAAGGCTGGGCAATCACAAAGCAAATAAGTCATACTGTTTGGAGAGTGAATTCGTTTTCAGTAAGAAACTAGTTTGCCTGATTCCACACTACCAATTGGAAATTTGATAATGTTACCCTAAAATGATTGTTTAAATAGAAGCGTTGTAAATTAAATGAGAAGTTTTCATTCCATCTGTCATAAAGACATTTTTAACAAATTTGTCTACAATGGTGGAGTGTCAGGAGAAGTGCAAATAATCCAAGTCAAAGTAAACTATAAAAGAGTATTAGTTGACTTTAGATATTGTACCAGTACAAGGAGACTTCAGTCACATTTTCCCCAATAAATTGGAAACAAAGGCAGTAAGACTGCTCTCTAAAAGTTAAACTTCAAGATCACATACATAGCTAGGAGCAGAAATAAGCAAAGCCACCTTTAAAACACACACTGGTTTGATTTAACTGTAACTTGATTTTTCTTGAAATAATATTGCTAAGCGGTTTGGGTAGCCATGGAAACAGAGAAAGTCACATACAGGGGCACTTTAGGGCCAGTGGCCATCCAAGTGCTGCTAAGGAGAGAAAGAGTATAAATCAACAGCTCAGCAGGATGTCCCCACCATATTGGAGATCAGTGCAGCCATTGGAAATTGAGTACTATTTTCAGAACAAAATTGTCCTGTTGTGAAGATAGATGAATCAAGAAAAGTCTATACATATAACTCCACTTGTTCAGAATAGGTGTTCATCAAGCAACCTTCTGATAATACCTTGGTTTCCTCAATAGGTTTGGCTACACAGAAAATGCACTCAGAGGGGCCAGATACAGTGGCTCACACCTGTAATCCCAGCACTTTGGGAGGCTGAGGCAGGCGAATCACATGCGGTCAGGAGTTTGAGACCAGCCTGGCCAACATGGCGAAACCCCGTGTCTACTAAAAATACAAAAATTAGCCTGGCATGGGGGCGCCTTTGTGTAATCCCAACTACTCGGGAGGCTGAGGCAAGAGAATCACTTGAACCTCGGAGGTGAAGGTTGCAGTGAGCCAAGATCACGCTACCTGGGCAACAGAGTGAGACTCCATCTCAAAAAAAAAAAGAAAGAAAAAGAGAGAAAGAGAGAAAGAAAGAAAGAAAAGAAAGAAAGAGAGACAGAGAGAAAGAAAGAAAAAGAAAGAGAAAGAGAAGGAAAGAAGGCAGGCAGGCAGGCAGGCAAGGAAAGAAGGAAGAGGGGAGCGGGAGGAGAGGGAAGGAGGGGAGGGAGGGAGGAAGGGAGGAGGGGAAGGAGAGGGACGGGGAGGGAGGGAGGGAGGAAGGAAAGGGGAAGGGAGAGAGGGAGGGGGGAGGGAGGATGAAAAATGTACTTCAAAAAACAACCCTTCGGTCCATGCTGGAACACTGGAGACATTCTCTTTCTGGCAAAAAGTTAAAAAAAAAAGAAAGAAAAAAAAGTATTGGCTTTGCAGCTGTGAGTGTTCAAGCATATAAATTAAAGCTCTTGGAAATTAATAACTTAATACATGTCAGTCTTATGACCTTGGTTAATTTAAGTTCATCTGATTGCTGAAGTTGTTCTCCATTGCTCAAGACAGATGTTTTGGCTGGGCGTGGTGGCTCATGCCTGTAATTCCAGCACTTTGGAAGGCCAATGCAGGAGGCTTGCTTGAGCTCAGGAGTTCGAAACCAGCCCAATCAACATAGCAAGACCTCGGCTCTACTGGGAAAAAAAAAAAAACACAACGCCAGGTGTGGTGGCAAGCACCTGTAGTCCCAACTACTTGGGAGGCTGAGACAGAAGGATTGCTTGAGCCTGGGAGGTTGAGGCTTCAGTGAGCTGTGATCATGCCATTACACTCCAGCCTTCGTAGCAAAGTGAGACCCTGCCTCAAAAAACAAAGAAAGATGTTTTTTGTGACCAGGACACTGTAGACCAGATCCTAGAAGATTGTAGAAATTCACTAAAGTAATGCTTCCTTGTCCTCTTGTGGATGATCAGTGGGCTTTCCCCTGGCAATGACCCTATATCAATAAGAAAAACTTTTTCTTTTCTTCTTTTTAATTTTTTTGAGAGTCTCGCTGCAGCTTCAACCTCATGTGCTCAAGTGATCCTTTTGCCTCAGCCTCCCAAGTCCAAGTAGCTAGGACTACAAGCATGTGCTACTATGCCTAGCTAGCTTTTTTACTTGTTAATTTTTTTTGCAGAGGTAGGGTCTCACCATGTTGCCCAGATTGGTCTTGAACTCCTGGTCTCAAGCAATCCTTTTGCCTTGACCTACCAAAGTATTAGTATTACAGGCATGAGCCACCAAGCAAGCCCAGACTTTTCTACTTCAAATTAAATCAGTGCGGAGGGAGGTGTTCATAATTTACCTCTGTTTATTATTTCATTTATTTTAATAATGAATGAAATAAATGCTACAGTGATAATTCCATGGACATACACCAGCTACTGGCGGGGAAGATCGTTCAGACCAGAAGTGGTAAGAAATCCTTGAATTTTTAAATAAGTCATAGGTAGTTCACAAAGAGGACAAAAGATACCACTTACTAAACATTCACCACCTGTTCTGACATAATATTATCATCATTATAGTCTCCCACTTCCAGATACACTCATCTGCCTATGTTACACTTGTGGTAAAAGCCAGCATGGGTGAACTTTACTATTCAACGGAGCTGAACACTGTGCTGCAGAGATCATATAAATAAACTGAATGGCTTATTTCACATCCATAATCAGGAACTTAAAAAGTGCTCTCAGTAGCCCATGTTACTCTGTTCCTCACACTAGTTTTACTTTCACTCTCTGTGATAACTTTCCAATACACCAAGACTTCTCAGCTTGCCCCCAAATTCACTGAGAACATACTGGCAAACTGCTGATTCAACCATTTACACATCCACCCACCAGACATAAGAGGGCTCATTTAACTGAGGCTTATTATCATCTTGTAAATGTGCTCAATTTAAGACTTCTTGGAAAGGTCTCAGGTCCAAGCTTCGTCCTGAAAAGATAATTCTGATTGCAGAAACTCCCTCCGTCCAGCAGGAAGCGCCAGCACCCTCTGCCGGGGTCAGGTCGCCACGGAGGCCTCACGTGATCCGGCCGTCTCTGCGCAGGAGTGTGGTCTTGCGGAGATTTGCCCTACGTACTTAGCGTCATGACGTAGTACGTAGGGGCTGGCTAGCCGCCATCTTGCTTCTTTTTCTCTCTCGCTCGCTCGCTCCCTCTCGGGAAGCTGCGAAAGTGCTTTGGCGGTTTGTCCATCGGCAGCTTCGGCTTTTCCAGTCCGGTGGCCCTTCCGGCCACCCCTTTAACCCCAGCTTTCCCTCCCCCTTCTTTCGATCAGAGATCGGCGGAGACCCTAGAAGTGCGCAAACTTGACACTCACCCTGACCGGTAAGGAAAGCGAGGGTGTGGGGGCCGCGATCAAAGAGGGCCCCGTCGGGAACGGCCGGCGTGCGGCCTGGGGCGTGGGAGCGCACCCAGACCTTGGCGCCCGCAGGCTAGGGGGCAGCGTGGAGAGGGCCTCGGGTCCGGGCATCTCCCTTCTCTTTGGTTACCATCATCTCTGTGTCTGGGGAAGTCGGCCTCCAGCTTGGGGAGCGGGAAACCGGAGTCAGACCCGCCCCATGTGGTCTGCAGCGGGAGTTCTGGACCGGTCTGTCTTGCTACCACCCAGACCCCAGTCCTGGCCCTGCGAGGGGATTACGCATGTTGCCGGGTAAGCGAAGGGGTTTTCCGTCTTCCTGGACTGGCGGACGTGCAAGTCTTTTTTTTTTTTTTTTAAGTGTGGGGTATGTATTCCCCCAAACAACTGAAGGACTCAGCCGGGGCCTTCACTCTCTATCTCTTCCTGTGTAGTGAGGGTGGGACTTGCAATGAACAATGTATAGGAGGGTCTGGATTAAAGACCTGATGAGATGAGAGGCTCTTCGGGGAATCAAGACCAACCCTACTTCCGCTAGGGAAGTGCTGCCCAACTCCAGAGAAGGATTTGGGTAGTCTTTTCACACTCTAGGCCGCTCCATCCTCTTAACTTGCGTGGTAAATCTCGGTAGCTCCCTGTCTTTGAGATAGCGTTGGTATTGGTGGTGTTAGGGTAAAGGCCCCGTTTTAGGACTGAAGAAAAGGGCATGGGGCCAGTGGAGACGTTGATAGAGGCTTCCTTCCTTTGCATGAGATGAATTCCTTTAATTTAAAGGGATGTATGTGTGTTTTGACATTATTTGGGATCTTTTGAGGGTCTGACATGCCTGATCTTTGCTGGCTTATAAAGCTACCCGGATTTCCGCATTGGCTGGTCTTCAGCCTGGGTTCATATTCATACCTCGTTAGAGTACTTAGAATTGTACAGTAGGCGGCTCTGCTGTAAGATTTTCATTTGGAATGCACCAGAAGAATCGGAGGATTTTTGATTGTTGAGTACTTAATAGCTTACTCCTGCAAATAAAAATAATACGGTGATATTAAGCACCTACCAAGCCTAACCCCAGCATTTTTCAAAACTAGGTTTCACCTCCCATGTTGGTAATTAAGATGCTGCTTTGACTGGAGCCATTTTTAGGTGTGTGTCACAGATGCACTGCAGCATCTTTTCTGGCTCACCCCAAATGCATTGATCCCCTAAAAAATTAGGAATAGATTGAATTTGAATTTTGTCTTTAGCATGTAGTCAAATAGTATTTCTCTCCTTTTCTGTAAATGGATTTTCAGAATATAGCCTTTTTAAGTGATTTTGTTTGCTCTGCTTAGCTTATGTGTGGCTGTTCTCCATTAGGTGACCCTTTGCTATACACTGAGCACAGTAATAAGCCCTTTTCATACATATTTTTTTTAAATCCCCACAACAGACCTTTGAGGGAAATGGTAATTCTGATCATCCCCATTTTACAGATGAGGAAATGAAATCTGAGAGAGTAGTCTGACCAAGGTCACTTAGCGGTTATTGGTAGTATTGTGTAGGTTCAATTCCATACTGTCTGAACCCAAAGGGGATGCTCTGTACCTTCAACCTGCCTTGTAAATTATAAACTGTAGTAACTAAATAAGATAAAGCATTATTAACTGGTAGTTTTTCTTTAGCTTGACTAGTTTATGAACATGATTGCATGCTAAGGTTAAAGTGTTGCAAGTTGTAAAAATGGATTATATCCACTTTGGAGGTGGGGTAGAGGCTAATTTTTTTGCGTCCTTTTCTATTTGAGTGCTTAAAGATCACTTAAAACTAACTCTACCATGTCATAGATACAATTTCTAAATTTGAGCATCTGACATATTATTGGTAGAATACTCCCTCATCTGTAAAATGGTGATGATAATAGGACTTTCCTCAAAGGCTTATTATAGGAGTAAAAAAAGATAATGGATAATATATGTAAAGGACTTCTTACTATGCTTAGTACATCGTAAAAGGTCAACTAATAACGGGGGGAGAATGGTAGGATATTGGTAGAAGAAAATACTCTCTTCCAAGCAAGAAATAATCTGTATATTCTCAGGGTGATGTGTATATTTCTTTAGGTATATAAGAAAATTTCACCTCCCCTTATCCCTAATATATCTATTTATATGCAGGATTTTGCTTCTTAGCCATTTCTTTATGCTCTACAGTAAATATCCTTGGGATGAGTATCTTGTTCATAGCTGAAAATGCAGAAGTTCTGGCTCATTCCAGTCCCCTGTCTTCTTCTTACCCCCACTCCACACTCTTTACTGATAAAATGTCTTTGAAGATTGTATTATATCCCTGTCTCCCTCCAAGTGTCACCCCTAAACACTGCTTCAGTTTGTTAAATCAGGTAACTTGTGTTTTGGATGCTATTTATGTCATATTTATAAATGACAAGGATTGATGATTGGTGAAATGTTACATAAGTTAGTACAGAATTGTATTCTTACAGTGAAGGAGATAAAAAAGTTCTATCTGAGTTGTGACATACTTTTACTTCGGTAAAGCGTGATTTTGTCACCTTATGAATAGGACAACACAATGAAAGCTTATCTCAGTCTATGTTAATTGTTGCTTACAAGTTTGAGAGTTACTATGTTAGTTTTTTGAGTCACAACATTTTAAATTCCTGGCTAATCTCATTGATGCATCAGCCAGAACACCTTTGTGGATAAATGCGTTCTATAGAGAGAGGGTAACTTTAGTAAATTTTCTATTTAAGAGACAGACCTAACTCTGTTGCCCTGGCTGAACTCTAACTCCTGGGCTCAAGAGATTCTCCTGCCTCAGGCTCTCAAGTAGCTGGGACTAGAAGTGCCTACCATTGCTCCCAGCATTGCCAGTTACACTTCTAGTCCTTATTTTCCTCCAAGTTATCAGAAAGCATGTTTTGGGGCCTGTGACTACATGCCAGCAAATCCAGTCAAACAAGGGCTGTTACTTAGTTTCAACAGGAAATTTTTGTCTGATTGGCAGACATCATTGGCTGATATCTAAGAGTCTGAACAAAAGATTGCAATGAAATTATTACGTGAAATATAGTCAGTGTGATATACTCACCCCTGTGTGGTGCTGCTATGTCCTCAACATTAAGGGAAGATGGGATATCATTTGTGGAGCATGTTGTGGAGCACGTCTGGTATTAAAAAAACTACTGGATATTATGTATGTAGCATACTACATAGCAATACATAGTACCTAGTAATTTTTCTATTTTCTGTGTTCTGATATTAGTTTGTTTTCCTCTACTAGACTGTTTCCATGTCCTCATCACCTTGTATGGTGGTTGGCGTATACCTAGAGTTTATATGCTACTGAATGAATGAGGGTCAGAAACACAAAAGAATAGACCCACAAGATTAACTGATAAATATCTTATTGGAGCGAAAGGAAATGCTGTCAGATTTTTTCCTTTACCTCTAAGAATAGTATCACAGGTAACCTTCAAAGAGTTTGTGTTAAATAGCATGCATTGTGAGATTTATTTACATCTGATTTTTAAAATTTTTAGCTTATTCAACAAAGATTAAATATTCTTTTAATTTTGTAAGGCCCAGTGAATCAGAGCAATATGGCATTTGGTCCACTCCCAAGGTGTTCACAGCCTTGAGGATTAATGTTAAAAGTTATCTTGTAATCTTTGGATTCATTCTAGAAGATTAAAAAGGTGTATTAAGAAGGTAAGGGAAATTTGGTGCAGAAAATTACTGATAGTACAGATTGAGTGCCTAGTTGATTATAAGTGAAACAGTGATGGCTAAGAAAAATCAAGAATAATTGTGATTATTATTTCTTGAGCACTTACTATGCCATATACTAAACTATTTTGTGAATGATCTATTTAAATCCATACTGCAGAAAGCCGAAAAGGAAGAGATTTAAGTAATTTGCTCAAAGTTACTTAGCTTCTAAGTGGTAGAAATGGCATTTGAATTATTGATCCAGAGCCTGAGTGCCTAACTTAACTACATGGGTTTCCTAGTGGCCGGTATTTTCCAAACTTAAATCATTCACAGTTTCTGCTTCGTCTCAAACCACCTGCCTGTTACTTAATATTTTTCTTCAACTCAATTCACTGTCTTTTAATTGAATGAATTTAAAAGAATTTTTTTTTCTTTTTTAGATGGAGTCTCACTCTGTTGCCTAGGCTGGAGTGCAGTGACGCTGTCTTGGCTCACCTCTCCCTTCCGGTTTCAAGTGATTCTCCTACCTCAGCTTCCTGAATAGCTGGGATTACAGGCGCCGGCCACCACGGCTGGCTAATTTTTGTATTTTTAGTAGAGATGGGGTTTCACCATGTTGTCGGGCTCATCTCAAACTCCTGACCTCGTGATCCGCCCACTTCGGCCTCCCAAAGTGCTGGGATTACAGGCATGAGCCCCCGCATCTGGCCGTTTAAAAGAAAATTTTTATGATTATTTGACGTCAGCATCCCCCCAATGTATTTTAAAATAAACATGATTTTACATAATTTTCTATGGATCACTTAAAATCATCCAATATACTACCAGTCTTTGTATTCCACCCTTTGGGACATTACTGCTATAAGAAATGAATACTGGATAGGATCAGGCCACAGTTACAGTTAATGAAGGTCAAAAGCCTAGAATGGAATAGATTGATAAAATAGGAAATGGCAGCATTACAGGAATAGAGATATGAATTAGAGTCTTAACTACATACTTGAGACAACCACTTTCATGATAAACTGCAAAGCAGTAGGTTTATTTAGATAGAGAAATGTAACAGGATGTCTAGGACAGTCTGTGGCAAGGGAAAAACAAGACAAAATAAGGAAGCCACTATAGAAATCGGGGCAGAAGAGAATAATCTAAAAACAGGATTATTAGAGCTAAATGTAGCAGAGTTCAGAAAAATATGTGACACGTAGTCTTTGGATTTGGCTGTGAGATCCTTGGTGACCTTAAAATAATCTAGGTCAAGTTAC